AGTACCGAATTCAAAGTCCATAAAGAAACCTATGTGAATATTCCCCTATTTAGCATAAGATAGTCAAATTAGTTGCTTGTCTGATGATTTCATATGGCCTAAGAGCACTGACATTTCGGCATCGTGAGTTATATCTATATCAAATGCCACTTACATTAATAACCAGACAAAGGGGTACGTAAAACGATGGCATTTGATGTACAGTATTTGAAGTCATGTAAAAGATACATAAAGCCGCGAAAGACTAGCACATAACTTGAATTACCATTCCTCCTACAGTGTATATACCACTATTGTTTCATGTTAAGCATGTGTTGTCTTTTTCAGATGAGGGACCCGAAAGAGCCTGGAGATAACTATAACATGAAGGAGCATGTTTATCATGATTCCAACATCGTTCAGGGTCTGCCAAACGAAGCCAAGGTTCATGTGAAGGACTCGAAGCAAAAAATTACAAACCAATCAAAAAATTCTAAAAAGAAGAGAGTGTATGATAAACCAGTGGAGCAAACAAAGTTAAAGGAAAATCCATATGCAGAACCGCATGCACATCAAACAACAAGTGAAACGAGTGCAGATACGGAAAGGAAACAGAAGAGTAAGGATACAAGTGCCGCCCGCAGTGGCAACAGCTCCAGAGGTACTAGCGCCCCAAAGGCCTCGGTTTCTACAGGAGCACCAGACGAAAACAGTGCTCCAAAAAGAAGAGAGTTAATATCTGCTCCAGAAGGAATCGAAATAGAGTCTGTTCCTACAGATATTTCGTTTATAGAAAATGAAACAGAAGCATCCCCAGGAATTCAATTGATAAGTAAGAAAGAACTTGGATCTAAAACCGAGTCTAAAAACAGTGCGTTGATACGACATAAAACATGGAGGGACGAGGACAGTTTCGATACCACAAGGAAAGCCGTTGCTATTAAATCTAGAAAACAGGAACCTGTTGAGACCACCACCAGTGATGTCAAACATTTCAGACGGAATGCATTGATCATTACCTTATTCCTAGCCACGATTCTAATTATTGTAGCAATCGTTGTAGTCTGCTTGGTAGCTTTAACATGATGACACACTCAATCCGAATGCATGCTGACGCTAGGTATGCTGCACATTATCGACGGATGAAGAGTACCCCCATTTTATTGAAAATACAGTATATATACGTTTGTATTAGGCTCCATGCCTACTGTATACCTCTTTATTTCAGCACAGCCGTTTTAGGTCAATGCAGTTTTTAAAAATTGTATTCAACACTGGCGTATCTAGTGGGAAGGGGGTCGCCCCCAGAAATCACGCTCAACAGTAGTCTGATTTTCCCCTCCCCTATAATCAACCACCCTCCCACCGTGACCTTTGCGCCCCATCATCCCCTTCCCCATTTTAGATACGTCACTGTATTCATAATTAGGAGTAAAGTTGTCAATTAGTGCAAAAAACACGAACACTCATGGTTGAATTGGTATACTGTACAGGCTTCGATATATTCATCAGAGACGGATCTTAGCGTACTTTAATTAATATAGGCCTACAGTATATAATGTTATGTTTTTAATAATACAGTATATAATTAATTTCTATTTAAAAATGATTAAACATGGTTGAATTCAATTTAGCCAACGTCTAAATGTATATAATAATGACATAGCGATATATTAGTGACTGTATATTTCTTATTAATTAGGCCGACAATGGTTTCTTAGTTGGACAGAGCTTAATAAGCCCAAGTAAATACAAAACGTTAATAGTATTCGCAAACGTTGTGAAGTTCAATTATCAGAAAATTATTGTCAGAAAAGAAGGTCACGGTTGCAGCACTGTTTGGGCAGCGTTATTTTGAGTTCCACATTAGTATTTGGTCAAAATGGCCGCGTAACCAGGGAGTTGTTATGTCACTATAACAACTCCCTGGCGTAACCAAACGCACATTACCAATTATTAATATATAACATGGTCTGATTTATGGCATCGAAAATGTGATTTTTTTGCAAATGATATATACAATTCCAATGTTGACACAATACATTATCTAATGAATAAGCCTACCGTTGCACACATGAACGGGTTACATCCAGTTGTTAAGGCAGGCAGTAAATAGGTTGAGGTGAATTATTTTATATATACCACAGAGAAATGCTTTATTTTCTCTGATTATACCAACCTCATAGCATAGCTAGTTACTTGATTTTGTGTTATAAGTTTGAAGGCGTGTCTGTATATTTCAGTGGCGGATCGTTGAGTTTGTAATAGTGGGGCTCAGGGAGAGACTATCATACAGTAGATGGCAGTGGCTAGGCAGGGCTACATCCCCTTTCCCCACCCGTCTGGGAGGCCTCCCCCCCCCCGGGGAGAAAAAACATAATTCGTCGGGGAAAAAAAAAATTTAAAACAATTATAGGCCTATGTAGGCCTATTTTGTACATATTAATAGACTCTAAAATCGATTAAATAAGCCTTTGAAACCCCTAAATTGTCATATTTTTTGGGGGGATACGTCCCCTGGACCACTTTCGAAAGCGTTTTAAGCAACGCCCGACCACGCCCATTTTTTTTCTCGTCGGGGACGTCAGCCCCCCCCCCCTCCCTGTCGGGGACCTTGGACTCCCAGGCGGGGAACTAGATGGAGGGACTACACTACCTCAGTCCCATCATATGGTTAGGCAAGAAAATGTATGATTAGCACCTTATTAGATGGCCGGAAAGCACTCTTGGACTTCTTTTGAACATAATTTTCTTTCATCTCCTTTCCTCTCGGCTGCCCACCCCCGTAAATCCGCCACTGTATTTATTAGGTTATCAATTAATAACCCAAAACTGAAGTGTTTCATAAAACAATCGAAAGGCCTATATGCATTGCTTAACAATTTGGTATAATTATTTTTCATCAAATAATGATTGCTAGGTATACAATAACAATAATGAATTAAATGTATATAAACCTATCACACACCGTGCCGGGGATCTATGTACGAGGTCTCTGTGCAGTGTATAATACAAATCCTATGCCTTTACATTGCAAATTAGAGGATTGTTGTTTATCAGTATGCTGCATTTTAATTTATATACGTTCAGTATATAAAACAGAAAGAGTCCTACATAATGTGCCTAACCGTAAATGCTAGTTTTATCTAACGGCATCCATCGTGGATTTAGGCTTAGTTGCCTGAGAAACAATATAGCATCTAGAAAATAAATGTATTTGTAGGTCTAGATCAGGTCGGATGCAAATTTTGTATTATTACTGTATTTCGTGTACTGTACTTAAATTCTGGTTTCACCTGTTGAAATTTTGCTAACAATATTCATTCAATAATGTCAGCTATATATTGTCTGTCATAATATATAAAAACCTTTTTAACATTTTAATAATCTCATTCAAAAGCATTATCAACTGCAAATATAAGACACAGGTCAAAACAATGCAGTTTTCGTTGATAAAGGGCCTACATAAGTGTTATTACAAAAATCCTTACATTGATTATTAGACAATTTAAGGTTTTGCAAACATGTAACAAGGACAGACATACTTATACTTTTTGACTTGTATGTAGATGCCCGCCGTCCGCTAATGGACTATTCTGGAGGGTCGTCAAAACACTGAACTTAGTCAAGAATACATACTTGTTCCATAAACGTAGGCCTTAGCCGTGTTTATACGTAGGTTTACACTGTCGTTTTTTGGAACCATAGTAATGCTATATCAGGGGCGTGGGGCTTAGCGGAAATGTCAGTTGCCAAGAGAAATGTTTTCTCAATTCTAATGGCCAGTTTATAGCTAATAACTTTATATTCAAATATACAAAGTTAGCTTTTCAAATAATATATTTTCAATATTTTCAATTGGTTTAGTTCATCATAAACAGTTTATTTTGAAGGTTTCAATTGTAATATAGTAAAAAGATTGTTTATACATTTTATACAGTAATATTAAAGCAATATATTATAAATATTATCGCTTGAACCAGTTCTTTCACGCTGATAAATCTAGTGGTCCCGAATATATTATACGATCGATTTCAATAAATAATATTAATTCATATTACGCACATATCCAGAACACGCATCTGCTCAAAATGCAACAACCATAATTAAAGACAAAAAATCAAATAAACAATAATGATAACAACAACACTTTTATCTACGGAAGGTTGAGCACCTTTGGAATGTTTACAACTGGGTAAGCACCACTGCTATTATAGTGAAAGTCCTTGACATGAGGGGGTAGATAAAAGGTACTCATAACCTAGTGGTAGTAGAAGTAGCACAAGTAGTATTTTCTGTATTCAGACGTGATGGCGCCAGGACCTGCCCGATGGAGGGGCTAAAGGCCCCGACGGGGGGGGGGGGGGCTTAGTGGAGCGAATGGAGTCTCACTTGGCTGGGGCCAGCTAGGGTCCCCGTGGCTTAGCCCCGGCCGGAAGCCACGGATATTTGACGAATTATGGCGAATTTTTATTACTTATTTGATAGGCATCGAGCTACAAAATAATATGACTTCATGTAGGCTATGTTTTCTGATGTCGAAATCAGCTTCCAAAACATTTTGAATAAAGCAAGAAACAAAGAGTATGCAATGTAACCATCTAACTTATTTTCAAATCCTCATTCTTGAAAGTGAAATTCTACATTTTGGAAATTTTGCATTAAATCTGTCAACCACGCTGTCAAGGTCGAGGTTGCTTCACCTATCACGATGTATTCCAAGCATCACGAGGCTATCCAAACGAGCATTTGTCATAACAGAACGCAAATTATTTTATTAGTCTCATTGAACTATTATTATTATTATTATTATTATTGTTGTTGTTTTTGTTGTGATGAAAAGTTAACATAAATACTTTAATGAAAGCAAATACTTTTTTTTAATTTGTTTATTCCCCTACAAAATGTACTCGTCTTCCCCGACCGGGGGCCCCCTATGCTTCCTCGCCAACACGAGTCTTGAGCAATAGCGCATGGCTATGGAGCACGAATGTTTCAGACTCGATTATTGAGGGGAAATTAGCTGGCAAAACAAGCTGATGAGATGCTTTGTAGCTACCCCAATGGAGACGCGGGGGCCCGGAAGGGAGAAAGCTGAGCTCCCGAGCATTACGGGAATGTAAAATGATAACGTCTAAAATAATAATTACTACAGTATTATTAAAATACTGTAATAATAATGAAAATAGTAAAAACAGCTGTTATATAATATCATATTGCACTGCATGTTTCATGATCAATTAGCTGAGCCCAGTCGGCGATCAAAACTCGCTTAAATCATTCTGACTCCTTTGTTGTTCCATTTGAACACAATCCTTTAAATCATTTTATCCTACCGTTATTTCACTTTTTCACTACTGTACCACAATCGGTGGTTGACTCAAAATTTAATTGAACTGTTGTTGAATATGAAAATAGAATCATAAAAAATAATACAGTGAAGCATCTGGGTTTCATATTTCATTTAAATGGTTTAATGAAAATGATTCATTGGTTTATAAATACAAGCTCTAAAGCTTTGTCTAGATTACCAAATTTTCTTTGACGAAAAACTGCTGTATGCCCATATGTAGTCATGATATGCCTATATATAGTCATGATGTGATGTCATCATGACCATATTTAGGCATGTCACATGTTTTTTGTCCAATAAAATTTGATAGTCTGAATAAGGGTTAAGTTATATCTATAAAATAGTATTGTTTGTTTGTTTGTACAGTATCTATAATATTTTTATGCAGACAAGATGCTTGTCAATGGTGCAGGTGTTTAATAAAGTGAAAACCAAACACTTTTCATTTTACTCGTAGCATTTCTTATTGCAACTTCTTTGAATGAAAAATTTTAGCTGTGTCTACTAGTCACAGACTGCATAGTACAAGATAGAGTGGATGTAAATCACCGCCATTCACTTGCAGTTACACAATGACATATCTAGGGGGTGCGCAAGATGCATCCCCCCCCCCAAAAAAAATACTCGCACCCTCCCAGAAATTACTGTCAAGTAGTTAAAAATCACCTCAAATCAACTTATTTTATGAGCTAGTTCCCCCTTACCTAATCATCGAGCACCCCCACCAACTCTACTTTCATGCCCTATCAGCCCCCTAGATACGTATGCCACTGCACCTACATGTAGCAAAAAGGCCTTCTGAAGTACTATTGCGTGCTATGATATTGGATTTTAGCTTCTGATGTCGTGTACAAGTACCTCTTGATGATATGAAGAATTTAACTGTGTTGAGGAACAAAAACACTGAATACAATATATTGTCACCATAATATCTACGTTACAAAGAATATTTTATATTTTTATTGGGTTTTTTCAGTTATAGTGTAAAAGATTGTTTATGCTTTGATTTTTATTTTCTCTAACCCTGTTTTTCTACGCAGCATTTTGGTCATTTTTCACGCTTGGAACTCCAACAAACTTGGTCAAGGCAAAGCCTATGTAGCAAAGGTGTGCTAATAAAGTATAATTCTACATATTTTTTAAACTAATAAACTGGTAATTAAAATATTAGGTTAATGCAAATATCATTTGTCTTATCTCCTCATAAAAGTATTTCCAAATACAGGGTAGTTACCAGAACTACTTGGTTCAATGCAATTTTTCTGTTTAACTCATCAATTAACAAAATACAAATATAGACCCAAAAAAAACCCCCTCTGAGCTTCCCAAAGTTGAGTTCTATTGTGTAATGGTTAAACCTCTGCACTCTATCCTCTTAGAACTAATTATTTTTATATGAGAGATAAGTACACTTTACGTTAATAAGTACCATTAACATAAAACCATAGATCTTAAGTAATATACCCTTAACATAAAACTATAGATCTTAAGTAATACGATAAAAGTTATTTCTGTTTTAAACTTCAATCTCTGTAATCCATTGAGGAAAAGCCATGTGATATGGTTTTACAGATAGATAGTAAATTTAGTTCTCTTTCAAAGGAATGTATTAGTACTTTTGATTAGCACCTCCTACCCTTTTGTTATAAGCTTGCTGATTGGTTGATCCTGACAGAGGCTCATTTACTTTTTTTAACTGAAGCTTGCTTTGATAATAACTTCGCTCTCTTTACACTGATTAATAAACTCCCTGTTTGGTACAGCCATATAGACTATAAAGAGAAAAAAAAAAAAAACATATATTAAAGAATTGGTGACCATTGTTGTTACATCCTATTCTTATACATGTCTACTTGTGTCTGCAAACAGATCAAATTATGTTCATACTTCCTAACTGTTTGCAGGAAAGTAGTTTGTATCTAAGCAATGAGTGCCCTCAATATACCCATTGGTAGTAATAACTGAAATGTGTTGATAGAGGGTGCAATATAAAACAATTAATTTCATGATAAACTGTCTCTGCTGTTACTTTGTTTATTTTATGTAATTTATTATAAAAACAAGTATAAAAATGTATTTTATTTAATTTAATTTTAATTTTATTTTATTTAATTTCTATGCTTTAGAGAAACTTTAATATTCTACATTTTGCAATCAACAAAGATCTTTGAATCAGTGAAATCTTATCTCTTTAAATCTGTGTTAACAAGAGCTATTCATTTATAATTGAATTTTAAATTTCTGTTCCACATTTTATAACAGACAATTACAATTTTAATGAACTGTAATTTTTTAATACTTTTTTTTTTTTTTAATTAATTTTACTAATTAAGATTACTGAGATTACTAATTGTATTTTAAACACAAGTGTAGTCAAGAGGCAGATCAGATTGCTACAAGACTTATGACTCTCCTGATTCAAATCAAATGATCCTTTATCACAAAAATGAGTAAAATAGTGCACATATTAAATGTCCATTTTAAGTGTTATTGGATTAGATATTATTATCGGCCATTTATCAATTACACATCTCCCTCCAAAGACTACTTTTGGGACCGGGGTTTTTGTGGTCTTTAGCAGCTTTGATCTCTAATCAGAATAATAAAAATAAGACATTTGTTAATTTTGGATCTCAGAAAAGTGATCTTCAATTGGAGGTGGTCTTTAATTGGAGAAGTCTTTAGAGGTAGACCTGTACTGCACAAACCAGTGGTGGACCCAGGAATTCGTAGTAGAAGGGGGGGGGGGGCAGGGAGGGACTTCCACAGTAGGAGGGAAATGGCACTCTCAGACTTAAATTTAAATTCATTTTTCTTTTTCGGAGAATGGGCTGGTTGGGTCCCCTGCAATCCACCACTGCAAACTAAAATACTTGAAAGTACATACCACCAGGATAAGAGAGTTGATGAGGAGAGGCACAGAAAATACCACTGTTATAAACAGACCATTAGAATCGAAGTACTGAAGTCTTGAGAAAGATCTGCAAATACATCAATACAGTGTCATGTAAAATCATACAAAAGGTTGGTTGGATTAGCAACAAGAATTTTCCAAATTTGACTTTACAAATTATTATCATCACATAATGTAATTAAAGTCTAAATATTTATAATAATAAAATTGCTGCACTTATGAAAATTATTAATTAAAACCCTAGAATTATAAGGTACTGTACAATAATGTACTTTTCCGGAGTGTCAATCAAATTTAACAACTGACCCATCAGAACACAGCCAGGGATACACATGCATGCCACAAAATGCACATGCCTTCATATGTTATTAAACTGTCATTGTGTGGTCCCTTAGCAACAATGTTCAAGGGGGGAGGGGGGCCTTAGCAACAATGCCCCTTTATAGATTACTTCAATAACAAACAGATGCATTGATTAAAAACCGAAAGGTCCACTGATTAATCTCAGATAAGATAGTATAATACATACTCCAAGCATCGAAATGCACGCCATCGTGTTGGGATTCAATTTTTCGCCATTAATTATGTCATCATCATGCATTGATTATGTTTAAGTAAAAGACTGGAAGGTTATGGTTTGGTGTTTTCACCTTCATGGAATCATTGAACATGACTTAAATTAAGGTAGAAACGTTGAATTATGGTCTCCCTGTCTTTATTTGAAGTTACATATATTATAAATTATTTCAGGACAAGGAAATTTACTCAATAAAACAAAGGATGAGAAAAGAAGACTGATGAACCAAGAGATTTGGATAAAAAAGAAAAGAAAGCGTGGAAGACAATTTGCCTGATATCTAAGTACAAGGCACATATGGATTCATATACAATTTTTTATCTATTATACATTTTTCAGAAACATACATTTGTTAAAACAAGTAATTTAAGAAACATATGTTTCTCAACATACTGGTGTGAAATGTACTAAAAGAAGTAATTTAACAAAAACATACCTTTGTTAAAGTACAATACATTCCATTCAGTTGTACAGATTTCAAATACACAAAATCATTACAATACATTAGCCAGCTGAACATAACATAAACCGAATTAACCTCACTGCTCTTTTACTTAAATTTTCCATTGCATAGAGCTTTTAAATGTTTTACATTTTAATGGTGTCAACTATTAGGGGAAAATAAAGCCATAACAATACTACTGTATATTGTACTTACTTATAATTCTTGGCAGCAAACTCATTAATGTATTCTGAACAGTAAATAAGACCCACTGGAAAAAACAATAATTAGTATAAAAATCAAGAAAGGCAATTCAAAATTTACTAATTCTTATGTTCAAGTTGGAAAGAGTTATGTTACATTAATTAAAGTTTAATTCAAAACTGAATTTTATGATTTTCTTGATTTTCAGGGGACAATGCATAAAGAAGTAATTCAATTTTTTTAGGTGTTGTTGCTTGGAATCCAGACCTTAAAGTCTGGAAACTAAACACTTGCTGTACATGTGATGGCCTTAGGCAGCACTTTACTGTATCTGACAACTCAAGAGTATTATTGAATTTTAAATGTTTTTTTTTTTTCAATTAACTGATGATCCATTGCATGTTAGTTTATTTTAATTAATAATTTTATCATAAATATCCTACTGTCAGTCACTAATACCAACTGAAAGTAATTATATTCACCAATGTTGCACTTACACATAAAGAGAAAAAGAACAATTTGAAAATTATTATAATGTCTTGTTAAAATCAAGATAATAAAAAACAGCATGTGTAATGATAGCAAGCATATTATCCATGGTTCACTCCAATCAATCTGCAAAGAAAGAAAAACTAAACATTAATAATTAAAGAAATTTGAATGAACTTGATTCAATATTTAAGGTTTGTATTTTCGTTCCTGCACGAAAGCACATTAGAAAATAGATTAAATAATACATGATGATGAGATGTGTAATGGCATTTCTCTTCACTTTTTGATTGGCTTATAATCAGTGGCATAGCCAAAAGGGGGGGGGGGGCGGCCAGGTCTCCAGATTTTGGCCACTGCCCCCCCCCCCTCTGAGGTGGCTAATGAGGTTCATTGACATTTCTACATGTCGATGATTGCTCGAATTCAGCTCAACCAGTTCGTAGTTGCAAAACTACGGGCGACTTCCATTTCACAGAGAAGTGTTCGCTTGCTGTTGTTTTTCTAAAATCACTCAATGGATGTTTAATTTATATTGTGTAGTTTTAGTTTACAGTACAGTAGGCCTATACATATTGGCAATCACAGGCATTTATACAAACAGTATTCTCTACACGTTTTTCTAGTTGTAACATAATGGCTAAAGTACAATCCCGTTCCCGGTTATTCATGTTTCTAAAATTTAACTGTAAGTGTAATTCGTATTAAGATACAAAATACAATAGTTTCATCATGGTTTAAAATGTTCTGTATAATGAATAAACTGCTATAAAACAATATGATGGTCATTTTGATTCTTTAATTACATAGAAATTTCACTTGATTTATACATTATTATTTGAGAGCAAATGGGCTGAGGTCACGCAAGATAGTCATTTATATAGCCATATTGTATTATATTATTTATTTATTTATTTTATCGTATCAAATGCCCCAAGCATTTGGTTCCTCGCTTCGATCAGAACACTTGTCCCCCGCAACATAATATCACAAACCCACACTGGCCCTCCCTACAGAAATATTCTGGCTACGCCACTGCTTATAATTAATTACTGGTATGCAATTGGGCAGTGAATAAAATAAACATGGACAAGAAATTACCAAGTTTATGTGAAGGCAAAGCATGGTGTTTGAAGGGATTTTTGGTTCCCGTGTCAATTATAGAAATGGCCGCCCTTTCCAGCTCGGAAGAAGGGTTCTCCAGAGCTTCATGTTACGCTGCGGTTATTAATTGATAAAAAAAAAAAAATGGCAAAAAAATAACGATAAAGATATTCATCAACATCTTCTTCTGGTGAGAGACGTAAAGTACCTTTTGGTGTGGAACACTACAGTAACTAGGGTATATAAAGTAGGGAAGTGGATATATTTACGTCGCTATAAACAAATCAGTAAACGATATATTTACGTAAATAAACAACGCATGCGCAGTCATACTTTAATAAACTTGCATTATCGGTCACATAAATTTATCGATTCACGTTAAATGTACGTTAACACGGAGTTCAACTTTCAAACTCCAAATTAGCATCGGCCTTTTGCTGAATGTTGTACCATGAATCCACGGTGCACAAAAATCAAATCTTCAAACGTGGATATTATATATCATGATATATTATTATAGTCATGTTCATTGTTAAAATACATTAACTTGACACAACAATTTTTCTTGTAAAAACAAATAGTTCCTATTTCTACTCTTTAAAAAGCCACTGAACAACACACGATTGAATCGACGGCAAATCAACGCACATGGGGAATCCCCAAATTGGGTGTATGAATTTTCGTAAACAGTTTAGACTAGTGGATAGGTACAGTATTTAAATTATAATTTTACCGTTCTTACTAAACGTAATTAAATTTACTACAGTAGTAGCCTATGTATTTCAATTAAATTTAAAATAAAATTTTGAATGATTGTGATAATGAGCTAGAAGTATTCGTTTCACATTCTCACATCATGACCACAACGTCGAGCGGGGCTGTTTATTCCACGTTCTGCATCCATACTTCGTAGACACATGCACAGCATGCCAATGTTGTTTTGTTAGTGATCAGACTACATGGGAAGATATGTTTGAATAAAACATTAAAAATATTTGTTTTGTCTTACCAGGGAGATGTATTTTATGTATTTTTTACATCTCCCTGATCTCACTTTTTCGTAATGATTAAATATCTTACAGAAAACACATGCATATTATTATTCGTTGTTTACTTCTTGCTTCATAGCGCAGTACTTTGTAGAGTAGATCATGTGCTCTCCAAACGTGGTCTTCCTGTATGTTCTTCGCAATCGATCGGGGCTCTGCTCGACCCGACTAAAGACTATAACGATGTTGTTTTTGTTAGTGACGACGTGGGTATATTTGTTTGAATGAAAACATTACGATGTTATTTAATTTGTGATGATTGACTATCGTATAACAATACAGGTAGGCCTAGAAGAATATCGTCTTGATTTTGTGGTAATTGAGTTTTAGCAAGGAAACCTCGCGTAGACCTAGGCCTTGTATTTAGGTCAAGTGTGTTCATTCAACAAATGATTGAGTAAAATGAACATAACATTTCAAGCTCATAATATCACTTTTATTTGAAAAGTTAACACAATGATTTAATAATTTATTTAGTGATTAAACTACATACTGTGCTGTTGTAGAAAATTAAAATTAAATTACGTTTAATAAAAAATAAAAAACAAAATTATAAATTAAGTAGTGCCGTGGTGAACTTGGGGGAATCCCTGCGGCTTGGAGGCCACCCAGTGCTGAAAATGCAAGTTTATTAAAGTATGACTGCGCATGCGTTGTTTCATTTACGTAAATATATCGTTTACTGATTTGTTTACGGCGACATAAATATATCCACTTCCATAAAGTAGAATGTCAACCTAAAATGTTTGAACTGAGTCGCCTGTAAGTACACTTGGCTATGGAGGAGGCCTAGGCTACCCTAGGCCTAGGCCTAGACAATCAATCATAAAAGATGCTTACGTTTTTTAAAAATGACAAGAAGCCATCGATTTCGCCAATTCGTACGGCATCTTGTGGATGAGTATCCATGATTTCGTCAGTTACTACAGTACTAACGTGAAAGCTTGTAAAATCCTGTAGCTAGGCCTAGACCTAATTCAGCTGGAAGGAGAATCGTCTGTCGATGTAAAACGTGTATCGTGGACTTTTCTCCCGTACTGGTGTTGTGTACGTAAACAAGGAGTTTGGTATGTTGAGGGCGCAGTAACATATATTTGGACTTGGAGATGATGAAAACACTTGCGTGGTCTGAATGCATTTGTATCTTTCTCTCAAAACCAGAATATATGGGAGTAAGTCGACCGCCCTTCCTCCCCCATCCCCTCAACTTTAGGCCTATTTCCAAACCTCTTTATCAACCACTGAGAACAATGTATTGTCTGCTCCCCTTCCCCAAATTCTCTCCGCCGTGTTTGTACGGGTGCGGACAAGGTTGTCAACTCCCTGGTGCGGGGAGCGTATCCTAAGACGATTGTGGAATTTTAGGGATGACACATAAATTTAATTCTTTAATTTTGATTGGCCTTTAATTTGTCTTTCACGTTAGAATACCATGGGTGCTAATTAAGATCTGCGAGCAACCCCCCCCCCCC